AAAACTCCGGATAGCGACCTAACTGGTCTGCTTATATTCACAGATTTTTCCTCCTCAGGATGGTACAGACGGAATCAGACCACAGAAGGTAGCTCTTAAATAAAAAATTTAAGAGAACTGCAGTAACTGCAGTATCCTCAGTGGCACAGTGCGTTAAGAGTAGCATGATAACTTATCAACTCAAACAGATGACCAAGAATTCCATTGGTACAAGGTGATTTCCAGAAGTGGTACAATTCTGACCTAACCTTCTAAGAAAAGGAGTAAGCTTTATTAATTTTTTTTAAAAAAACTATCCATCAGTAAAACACACTTCTGGCCACAGTCATCAGTACCACTGTCTGGGAAAAGCAGCTGCATCAATCCTGATGTACCTCATGTCTGGCTGCAGTTTCAAGTTAAGTTCACATATTCAGGACTTTTAATCTTTGCTAAAGTCATGCTGCATTACATATTCTACCTGGTGAAAGCCGGTTTGTACAGAACTCCATTGACCGAACAGCTGGGACAGCTGAGGTTAATTTCCATAACAGAGGATTTTTTTTAACCGCTGTTCTCGTGCATGTTCAGTTGCCAGCTTTACAACAGTCCTCAAAACACAAAGTGGCTGAAATGGTTAATCCTGCAAGTAGGACTTCTAAAATATAAAGCACACCAAGGAACTGTTTACCTTTGTGTACTCGGTTGTATTAAGAAGCACACCAGCTTCTAGGCCATGCTTCTGACATTAGCAACCCATTAGTATTTGCCAGAGACATCATCAGTTAAAGATTTGGTCAGGAATCTGAAATCCTCACTTGCCTAACTTTGCATTAGTAACCTGAAATAATGAATTAATTAAATTTCCCAGATGACATTTAAATCCCAAGGTAAATAATAAACAATGCATGTAATGATCAAGTTGTAAATACAACTCTATCAATAAGAATGTTCTAAGCAGTGTTTCAAAGTTCAGAAGAAACTGCTAATAGTGCAAGTTTAAAAGAAATTAAGGAAAAATCTAATAATCTACGTTATACCATTTTAGGTGGATCATCAGTGCAGTAAAATGTAGCAATCATATTTCTTCCTAAACTGTAATGATAGTTAATGTCACCTTGAGAGTAACATGCCATAATGTGCACTGCAATTTAGCACTTATATGAAGCTGTACTGAGTTTAAAGAAGTCACTATCAAATTTGCAAACCATGAAGATAAAATAATGTCACAGTAATACAGATTAGGGTGTATGCTGGACAGAACAGCTGTATGTCTTGATGAGATCTGACACCCAAAGCACTGTTGGTCTGTTTTACCCTGATCCAAAATATAAGGAACAGACAGAACTGCGGATCCGATTCTGTACTATTAAGCACTAGACAGAGTGCTAGCATTATCCCCTTTATTATGGGTCAATTTGCTTCTGAATCACTTGGAACCACTTTGTTTCAGACAGATGTGGAGCCAGACAAATTAAATAATACAGATAAGAGTCAGACACAGACAAACACAGAAAACACAAAGTATCAAGAACTTCCCTACCTTCGAGGATGACCATCTTTTATCACAAGTCTACTTGGTCCCCTCCTCTTTCTTCACATTCTTGTCAAAGTTCTGATTTAATCTCTAGTAGATTATGATTATTTTAACGGTAGGTGTCTTGTTTGTTTTGTGTTCGTAAGTCTGACTTTAGGACAAGGTGGAAGACTGGACACCAGAACTAACTACCTCCAGAAGCTGAAATGGAGTCCAAAATTAGCAAATTGCTTCTCCAGACACATATAAAAAGGCACAAGACTAATTTTGTCCTTTCTAGGATAACCCCTAGAGAACCATGTTAGCCATCAGCCTAATCTTGTAAATTAGCACAGGCTGTGATTTCAACCTTAGTATGTCAGGATGATATTATCTATATAATATTAACTTTCTTAAACAAAGAAATCTTGCAGAAACTATACACACAAAAAAAGTTAAAACAATATTAAGGCAGCACATTAGAAAATGCAAAATTTAATGTCAGTTTATGCATACACATTATGATTAATCTCTTGAATACAACTGTTCTTTTTTCCTGAAGTCCTGACCTCAGCCAGCAAATGAGAAGGACCTGCTATAAAGGTCAATCAGAGTAGCATAAGAAAAGGCAAGAGAAACCCTACCTTGTTTGATGCAGAGGTGAAAAGATGTTGAATAAAAGGCCTTATGGTCTAGGCAAAGAACTTCTGTTCAAGGAAACTGGATTTTACCTTTGCTTTTCAACAAAGATTCAGTGACATGGAGCATGTCATCAAGATTAATTAAGATTTAATTTTTTAAAAAAACACAACCAAAGAGCTCTTCAATTTCTGGGCATCCATCATAAAATTTACTTGCAATCCTTTTAGGCGGACAGACCTGGTCTCTCTTTCTGACAGGTAGACCTGTTGTCGTTTTTCTGACGGGTAGACCCAGTCTCTTTTTTTAATGGGTAGACCCAGGTTTTTTTTTTTTTGACAGGTTGACCTGGTCTCTTTTTTTGACAGTAGACCTGTTGTCTTTTTTTTGATGGGTTGAAGTGGTCTTTTTTTTGGACTGGTAGAATCGTAGAATCATTGAATCATAGAATCATAGAATAGACTGGGTTGGAAAAAACCTCCAAGATCATCAAGTCCAACCCCTGATCCAACTCCAATTACTATATCATGGCACTAAGGGCCACATCCAATCTCTGTTTAAAAACCTCCAGGGATGGTGAATCCACCACCTCTCTGGGTAGGCCATTCCAATGCCTGATTACCCTCTCTGTAAAGAATTTCTTCCTAACATCTAACCTAAACCTCCCCTGGCAGAGCTTGAGCCCATGTCCCCTTGTCCTGTTGTTGGTTGCCTGGGAGAAGAGACCAACCCCCACCTGGCTATA